ACATCACATCTGACGTGAGCAGCGACGGCTCAAAACTGGATCCAGTTTGTGGAGCTTTGAGTCGTTGATGGAGGAGGAACAGAACTGGAAGTCCAAAACACACAAACTGATTAGTTTTTTTTTTTACACATCAATAAAAGATGGAAAAAACACTTAGGGAAACTGTTTACCCTAAGAAAACAGTTTCCTTTTTGAAGATTAAAAAGACATAATCATAATTTCTAAAATTATGACAAGAATAGAATATAAAATGAAATATAAAAATGAAATAACATAATCAAATTATTTTTATTAATTGTATTGTTATTATTAATGTATTCACACCCAGACAAAACACCACTGAAAAATAATAATAATAATAAAAAAACTCTTAGCCGCATTTGTTGCGACAAAATGTGGCTAGATATATGGCCACATTTATATATATGGCCAATAAGTTAATACATAAATAAATAGATGAGAATGAATCTCCAACACCAGTGAAGTCATGCTCTACCTCGCTGGAGCTGAAAAGTCTCCCCAGAGTAGATCTGAGCTCTGATTGGACTGAACCACCGTGTTGGAGTTACTGCTGTCCAACTCCAAGAGGCAGCCTGAAAGAGACAAAGAAATATGAAAATCATTTCATGCAGCTCACAGATGACACACTTTTTAAAATTCATTTTATGCAGCCGGAAGACAGATATTCTCTAATTAACACACTGACTGAGAAAATGGGTTACTCATGTAGGTTAGAGCTGCACAAGGTGGGATTTTTCCATGATTCTGATGCACAGAGATTAGTCATTTTTCCTCCAATTAGTTTTCATATGAGCTCATGTATGCAATATAGTCGTGGTGCAGCAGCAGCATGGTGCTACTAACCTGTTGCTGTGCCCGCTATCTGGGGAACTGTGTTGTGGTTAGATGAGCCAGACGAAGGAGGCGGAGCTATCTTCCCTCCAGGCGGTGGTGGCAGGAGTCCAACCCCCGCTGAGCCTTGTGGACGGGGCTTATCCCTCTTTTTACCCTGCTGTTTATGGAACAAAGATGAAGTCAAGTTAAAGGCAGAAGAGGAAAAAATGAGCATGTTTACAGACAGAAGTTGAATATGTGCTACTTTGCAAAAAAAAAAAAGGTTGTCTAAACTGATTTCATCATAGCTGGTTTCACTGGTGTTTGTTTTCAAAACATTTTAACAATTAAAAGTTTTGACAAGGATCATATGTATTGTGTATTTTAGATACATTTCTGTTAGTCTTATATCTAATTTATAAACTGAACTGTATTAGTTTGTATTTTTAGTTCGTCTTTATGTTTCATTAAGGAGTTGCATAGGTTTTCTAGAAATAAGGCTTTACCATTAACTTAACTTTTTATAAAAATCTGGGAATTAAGGAAAATCCAGATATTTCCTTACCCCTATATTCAGTGTGATTGTCTGTCCCTCCTTAAAACCCAAATCCAGTTTTGGTCCTGAATCCCCCAGCTGGTTGCTTTTACTGATTTCACTCTCCTGTTTCACCCACCTACAAAGATCCAGAAACACAAACAATTTTCACTTAGAATTTTCCAACAAAACAAGCTGTGAAAACTTACATTATCAGAACCAAAAGAAGTTTAGACAAAAATTACATTCTTTAACCTTTTTTTTTGAAGCTGAATATACATTTGCACACTGAGCCTTCTTGCTTACTTGAAATGATCCTGCAGAGCGACGTTGAAATCAAAAGCGTCTCCTCGGTCCCCAAAGCCAACTCCTATGAAAGCGCTGCGGCCTGCATGCAACAGATGATGGGAGAAAACGTGGATTTGTTTACAGGTTTCAAATAGAAATGTTATCTGTTATTGGCAGAAATCCTGGAATAAAAACCTTTTGAAGAACAAAAAAAATACTTCAAATTGGAAAAACAACCCTAAACATGCAGCCAGAGAGATGATAGAATGATTTAGTTCAAAGTCTAAACCTAGATTCAGTAGCACGGTGTAAAAATATTAAACATTTATGGTCACAGAGGATCTCTGATAAATCTGAATGAGGTTGAACTACTTTGAGCCATAACTGCCACTATCAGAGACAAGCAGCTAGAAGGCGGTTCTAAAAGTATTTCCTCAGAAATCAATACAAGTTCATTTCAAATCTTTTACCTTTCGAAAACCATCTATCCTTGTCCTACCATGTGACAAAGTTTCTCTACTTTGAATTGATCAAACAAAAAAAAAGAATTAAAATACCCAGAAGTTTGTGGTTGTAACATGACAAACTGGGAAAACCTTTAAGGGGTGTAAATACTTTTACAGACAGTGTCCTCACCGCTGTCATCCTGTATCCTCAGAACAAAATATCGGCTGGAATCACTGACGGTTTCCACAGCGACGCCGGGGTATTCCTTCACAGGTGCCTGGGCAAACAGTTCCCCTGCAGCACCACAGGGCACATGTGTTAAAAACTGTAGATAAATAATGGCTCCTTCATCTGCACAGCTTATTTGTTTCAAACTGTATAAGTGTCAAAAGTACACGCTTTCCATGACAGCAATGTAATGTGCATGCAGTTTGTGTGACCTTAACACCGTTGTGTTTTCATTCTCAGTGGAAATGTCAGCGTCAGCAGGAGTTCCACTACCCAAGGAGTCTGACTCAGAGCGACAGAAAACATCAAGCCAACAAGCTTCATATCCAACCTGAGACTTTGTCTTCTAGTTTGATGTATGCTACTGTTCCTCTGGCCGTTATTCTCATTCGACCGGACCAGTCCGGAGCGTCTAGCTTCCAGTCAGCAGCCCTGCAGACAAACGGTTGTGGTGAATAGTCACAGAGCTGCAGGTCTGCTGGGATTACACATCCTAACAGTATGTTTATTCAGCTTTCCTTGCAGGTGCAGTGCTGAAATGACTTAACTCAAGGCATCGTGTTGTGATCAGCTGCACACAACAAGCTCCAAGTAGAACTGAGCTCCATGAGCATTTTACTTTCCTGAAAGATAAACTGCAAAAAAACAAACGCACCCTACTTAAATTCTGGGGGTTTAGGATGTGACTGGGCAGGGCTTCCATAAGGTGATTAATCAATCAATCACATTTTATTTGTATAGCACATTTTAGCAGCAAGACATTTCAAGGTGCTTTACATAATAAAAGAAAAAATAAAAATAGCATGTGACATTGAATAAACAGTAAGAAAGAGAAAGAGATTTTGAAAAAAAGAAAAGAAAAATATTGTATTATTATTAACAGGACAAGGTCTTCAACCTTGCAGCACCAGGTTCCGTAGATTAGTTTAAATTACAGTCCAATTTATTTATTTATTTCAGGAGAGAAACACCTGAAATAAGTTCAGGAGTTTGCTTACTGTATTAATCCTGCTGCTAGATTCATCTTTTTCATCTCAGGTCCTTTTGCTAGTGAGAAGTAATGATTTTTGATTACTTATGTTTCAATCTTATAAGTATTTTATCAATATTCTGCACTTCTATAATATTAAGATTGTTTATCTAAAAAATATAATTAAGAAAAATCTTCTTGCTTGACAATCTTGTTATGCACAATAAAAAATAAAATGTTGAAATTAGCACAGGTTCTGATAACACAAAAATCAAAATCCATCCTTTTCAGATTAAAAATGTTCATTACTCCTCAGAACAGCATGGGGCCCAACTTTCCATTTCTGCCCTCAGGATTCCGCCCATGCAGTGACCAGCGTGATGGACACGCAGCAATCCGTATGTGATGATGAAAGGAAAATAGACTTTCGATTTAGTTTTCAATATGTGTTTCCCGGGTCAGCAGTTCCAGCAATCAGTTCCAACCTATGGACAGTGTCGGGGACTGTCCTGGCAAACTGCCCGTATTGATCCAGGCGGCATGATGACAAATAACCAGAACCCTTTACCGCACACCGCGTCACGCAAGAAGCCAAACACGGAGCTCTCCAACAGCTGGGACGTGATTCAAACAGAAAAACTGAATTACTACAGTTTCACTTGCATTAGTGGAACTCTGTGGCTTGGCGTCCATGTGAATGTATAGGATCGGATCTTCACCGACCACTAGTAAACCCCTTCAAGTAGTTCTGCTTTAACCCCGCAGGTGTTGTCTTACCTGTACGCGCGGTTCGAAGCACGAGGCGGGATGCGGTAAACGTTGACATCTGGTTTAACGCACAGGATCGACTCGTACTCTCCCTCGGCCGCCATCTTATCCCGAGTACTGATGTGGGAGGATCGTGGTCGTGAGTCACTTATTCAGCCCATTTCTAACGGGTTCATGAGTATGGCGAGACATGTTATCATATAATTATGAGAACGGATCTTAAATTGCCATAATTTTGTTCTTCATTGGCCAGGTGAGCAGATCAGCAATTCATTTGTGTTTAGGTCATATCTAAAATAATTAAAAAGACTAAATCTGTCAGTTGCATGCTTTGTCTTTTCAAATAAATTCAAATCATCTCAGCTTTATTGGCATTCCTAAACACATAAACCATGTAGAAGAACTAGATTTGGTTTGTGTTGACTGCATTTAACATGTTCAAGCTAACATTCAAATAACACGGTGTATTGGAAAGACAATGACATATCCATAACAGGGAACCTTGAAAATAAAAGTAAACAATAAGACGAAAAACAAGCAAACAAAAAACAACGTTCAAATAAGAGGAGTAGCAAGTGAAAGCCAGTGGACATTGGGCAAATATTTCTCTCTCTCCCCCCCACCCCCCCGGTTTAATTATATGTTACAATGGCTTGCCATAAAGAAGACCTCTTTACTTCACCTCGGCGTTAGCTGATATCAGTTCTTAATGCTTACATTGTAGTCATGGAGTGAAAAAAAACGGTTATCTAAAGAATAAATTAATAAAATAATAAATAAATAAATAGTAGGTAGCAGTATTGGATGGTAGTGGGCGGCTAGGTTGGGGGCGTGGACAGACAGGTGCTGATATCTGCGGAAGCGGAAACCGTAGCTTCGTGTCGTCTGCTCGAAGATATCTGAATATCTCTGGTCAGTGTTTTCTAGAATACGTCTCGTTTTATTTACAAAATATCCATACCATTTGGCGCTACTTTAAACTATTAACAGTGCCTGTTTTTTGACATAAAAGAAGTCATTTGATTCGCATTTTATTTTATATGTAACTAATTCCTGCAAACTTGACACCAAGGGTAGACCGTTAGCCATGTTGACGGTAGCGCCCCGTCTTGAGTCGCTCTCCGAGGTGCTGAAATATGATTCTTCAATTTTATTCTTGTCAGTGCATCTGCGTGTAGCTGCCTTAGCTTAGAGTTAACATCCTGCTTTATTATAATATGCCAGGGTTTTGCTTGTTCTTTCTTACACGCATGCTAACTAGCTCATAGCTTAGCAAAACAGTTGGCAAACCTAGAGTAGGTGAGGATCTGTGTTTGTCGCAGAAGGGAACAAGCACTGTCATAATTATCTGGTCTATCCAAACGTTGGCGCAGCATCTTTTAATGATGACTGGTTGCATCTCTGCAGCTGCTGGTATCTGGTTTCTGACTCTCTGATACAAAAACCAGTACAGTCAGGCGGCAGAGAGAACAACAAGATGAAAGGTCACTGATCTACAACCTGCACGCAAGCAATTTAAGCTAACAGTTCAACAAAAGAGGCAGCATTTACTCAAGGTATCTGTCGTTATGTATTTATATGTGTGATTAAATATGCCTGGATTTGGATCTGTCCCGCATTGTTTGATGTGTTTTCTCTTGAACAGACTGTGGTGGTCGCATCCCCCACCTCCGCTTGTCAACATGACGTCTTCAATGCTTCGAAGGCAGCTGAAGAACCTGGTCCAGAATTACTCTGAGGCTGAGGTCAAGGTAAAAGAAACACGTTTTTGGGTTGTTTTTATGTGAGTCAGCAGGTAGCATCAAACAGTTTTTAAATGTTTAGTGATTATGTTGGTCCTGACATGAAGATGTTTTGTGTCTTTTCTTTCTTCGAAAAGCAACCTCTGCTTTTTCACTTGTCTTGATTTGTCCATCAGTTTAACGTATAATATTCTGTGTTAACAGAAGGACTTAATAATACATCTGCATGCAGAAATGTACCTATTCACAGTCTTACAAATTTGTATTCACTTCAGGTTCTTTATTATAATCTGTTACTTGGATTGAGGTAGAATCAAGATTCATATTCAAGCATTTTATAGACTTTTGATTGTTTAAATGGTGAACTAACTAACTTGCTATTCAAAAACTAATTGAAATATAAAAGCAGAGCGCCAAATACCAATTAGAGTGGAAATCTTGAAGATGAAGGAAATATAAAAAACACATTCAGTTCAGAATTTCTACAGTAAATGCTATAATTCTACACCTTGAGATGAAGGTGTAGCATTATACACCTTTATCTTCTTGCTACACCTTGCTATAATGCTACACCTTGAGGGGTTGTAAGGTTGCAATGTAAAATGATACACTGCAGACAAATCTCTCACAGTGCTGAAGTCATTGTTTCTTTACTTTTTTTCAGCTGCTGCTGCAACAGTATTCCTCCCTTTGCTTTGCAGCACCTTTGCACTTTTCCTTTTGCTTTTTCTGCAGGTTAGAGAAGCGACATCCAATGATCCATGGGGTCCTTCCAGCTCTCAGATGGCTGACATCTCTGATCTCACCTATAATGCGGTGGCTTGCAGCGAGATCATGACAATGCTCTGGAAACGCCTGAAAGACGACAAGAACTGGAGACATATTCACAAGGTGAAGACGATGATGAGAAACGGCAAATTAAAACAAATTTAATTTATTTTATTGACAGTCTTGAGCATTTTTTGTTCTTGGAGAAGTAATTGTTTAGCATTGAGATCTGTTTTTTACAGGACAGCTTTAATCTTTTAATGCCTGAAATGTGGAATCCAACACATTATCGATTGATTTTTCCTTTTCAACATCGGTAAAGCAGCTCTTTCTCCAGAAGCATTTTGTAAATTAATACCAATAAATGATGACGTAACATTTAAAATTTTTGCAAACACTACTCCTCAGTTGGATCACTTAATCCAATGAAAGTATCTTTCCAATGATGCTTTCATTGGAAAGAGTTGCTGTGACAACAGGTTTTTAATTATTTTGTTCAAAACACCAACATTCTACTATTTGCACTTTTTATTTTATTCATCTAAATAATTTCATAAACCTTAGTAGTGCATTAAAGGACTGTTATGTGCTTTGAAGTCCTAATCAACACCATAGATATTTATTTAAGCTGTGGATATACTCATAATTGTGACATCTGTTTGGCTAAAATGTCATCACTGTTCCAGCTGATCTGCAGCTGTACCTGCTAAAGTAATGAGCTAATTGAGTTGTATTTTTCTTCCCAGTCTCTGACTCTGTTGGAGTACCTCCTGAAGACTGGTGATGATCGTGTGATGCTGAAAATGAAAGAAAACATCTACATTGTCAAAGCTCTCACAGAATATCGTTTTGTGGAAAAGGATGGGAAAGATCAGGTGAAGCTTGTTTTTATCTGAGGCATTTAGCATTCTGCTCAGCCAGTACAGAGTTTATTGAACTGCATTAAGAGTATCCATTATTGGTGCTAAAATATTCATTGCCTTTTACCTTCATAACCTTTAGGCCTGGTGTTAAGCAATATTGGATTGACTCAGTAAAAGCCTTTAGAAGAAACACTCATGGTCTTGATTGCTTTGGCAGATTTTAAATATAAATTATTAAAGATAAACATTATTTTGGAAAAAGTTTATATGTTTTTCTTTACATTTTCTTCCATATTTGCAGTACTAAACCTGGGTCGATATGAGAGTATGATGATATGTTAACCTCTGGTGAAATTATTCATGGTGTCATGGTATGGACAACAAGATAATCAAAGTTCAAAGTTATTGTAATTGGTGCTATGATAACTTATCATTATTATTACATTTATAATGATATTATAATATGTACATCCTGATTTCTGCTTGCCAACTATAAACCGTGTCACCTTAAATTGATAGGTGGTACCCCTCTAGTTTCAACAATAATAATCATCTGTTTTCTGGCCAAGGTTCAGTGCTGTGTTACTTCATCACCCTGGAGCTTTCACCTGCATGAACCACAGGAGAAGCAGGGAATTAAATACTTGCAGTTTTGACTGCTTACCTGTTTAAAACATTGCTAAACCTTGATACCTCCAACTGGCTCATGCCTAGTCTGTAACTTGTCAAATCAACTAAGGAATAATATCATTAAATTTGTCACAGGGAGTGAATGTAAGAGAGAAGGCCAAGGTTGTTCTTGTTCTTATGGAGGATGATGAAAAACTGAAAGAAGAAAGAGAGTTTGCTATGAAGACCAGAGAAAAAACATCCAAAAGTTCTGCTGGTAAGACATTCGGACTTGAAGTATGACCGCTGAACACTTTCTGGTTCCCTTGTTTCTTTTACTTGTGTCAGCATCTTATACATATTTTGGTCATTTTTTTCTATCTCTTCCTACTAGCATCATCCACAGACAATGTCAAGGATCCTAACTACAAACCAGTCTATGTTCCTGGAGCTTCAGGACTTCCATGCTTAGACAACATTCCATCTGTGGCCGACTTGACTGCTTCTTTTGCTGCCCGCAAAGAGGAGCGACTTCGACAAGAAGCAGAGAAGAAGGAGACTGAGAGACGAGTGAGTGAGACAAAACAAGATTATGCACTCAGATGTAGCCAGGGAAAGTTTGTACATTTTAACTACGATTACTTGAGCTTAAGAAATTAAGCAAGTTGATTCCTCAACAAAACAGAAGGGGAGATAACTTTCTGATCAACAGTCTAACTTTGTTTTGATGGGTACTTTGTCTTTCTATTCTAGGCCAAGATGAGCGAAGATGAGCTTAAATGGGAGGATGCAGGAAAAGCCGAAAATGCAGCAAGTGAGGTATGGGGCGGAGAGAAAGAGGAGGAGAAGAAGGAGGAAGTGAAATCCGATCCATGGGGAGCTCCCAAAGAACCCAGTACAGATCCTTGGGGTGCTCCAGCCAAAACTGAAGATCCATTTGTGGCAGACAAAACTGATGAGGATCCATTCACTGCACCTAAAGACAAAGAAGATCCATTCACTGCACCTAAAGACAAACCTGATCCATTCACTGCCCCAAAAGATAAACCAGATCCCTTCACTTCTTCCAATGGGGATCCGTTCAGTGCTCCAAAGGAAGATCCATTCAATGCTCCAAAGGAAGATCCGTTCAGTGCTCCAAAGGAAGATCCGTTCAGTGCTCCTCAGGACGATCCGTTTAATGCTCCAAAGGAAGATCCGTTCAATGCTCCTCAGGACGATCCGTTTAATGCTCCAAAGGAAGATCCGTTTAATGCTCCAAAGGACGATCCATTCAATACTCCAAAAGATGATCCATTTAATGCACCCAAGGATGATCCTTTTAGTGCACCAAAAGACAATCAGTTTAAAGCCCCCAATGGTGACCCATTTAGTACTCCAGAAAATGATCCATTTAATGCTCCAAAAGATGATCACTTTAGTGCTTTAAAAGACGATCCTTTTGGTGTCCCAGCAAATGATCCTTTCACTGCTCCAGTATCAACACCCCCTAAAGAGGAGCCGTTAGTAGAAGCAACAATATCTAAGGCTGACTCGTTCACTGGTCCCACAACGCCACCTAAAGCATCATTTTCATCACCAACCAAACCTGTTCAAAGTGATCCTTTTGGTGGACCAACAACGCCGGGTAAGGAGGATCCGTTTTCTACAACATCAAAAGATGACCCCTTTGCTGCTTCATCATCACCATCAAAAGACGACCTATTTACAGTGCCATGCAGTCCACCAACAGAGGCAGCTTCAGATCCCTTCAGTGCCCCTGCAGCAGGTTCACCCCAAGAAACTGCAGATACATGGGGAGCTCAAACCAGTTCTCCACCTGCCAAAGGCTCTGATGCTTGGGGGGCACCAAGTGTTCCAAAGGAAACCAAGAGTGCCGATCCCTGGGGGGACGGCCCAAGTGTCTCTTCACAACTTGATGACTCTGACCCATTTGGAGATGCAACCAAGCCAGACGATGACCCATGGGGAGCCCCTGGTAAGAAACATTTAAATCTATTCTTGGAACCTGATTTGGAGGTTTAAATTTCCAGTTTGATCAGCAGCTGGATATATCTTAGTAAGGGCCTTGACATAGACTTCTTGAACATTCCAGCATTTAATTGTAGTATTTTTAGCTTTGTTGGACGTGAGCATTTCTCTTAGTGATATGCAGTCTTCACTGGAGGTTTATGGAAGAATAATGCTGTGGTGTGAACAGTGTCTACAAAGAATTTAACTTCAGTTTTTATGATGCTGTCAGTGCAAATATTTGAAATACTCACAGACTCTAGGTGGGGTTGACCCAAGTCCAGCCCCTGACAGCTGCTACCCTGCAAATTTTAGACGCTTCTCTTCTTCCACACTCCTGAATGAAATGAACAGCTTGTTTTCCAGCACTGGCCAGAACCACTAATGCTGATGAGACTATTGATGAGAGTATTTGATTGAAGTGTGTTTAAGAGTGGATGCATCAAAAAGTTGCAGGATAGTAGATCTCGAGGCTGGAATTAGGAGCCCCTGTCCTAGTGGGATGATTCCCAACAGGTTTTGCTGTTGAGCAGATAGTAGTGCAGATTGGGAGAATTGAATTATGAATCTGTCATCAGGTGTCAAGCAGGCAGTGCTTTCCCACTTTCAGTCTTTGGGAACCACAGTGGACTTCACAATCTTTCTGTTGATGTATTTGGTTTTCTCTGGGTGCTTCTGTCTCCTTCCTCCTTCTAAACACATTTATGCCCCTGTCTGCTTTGTGTCCCTGTGTTTCCAACAAGAGAACAGGTGGCGTGTCCTTCACAGATATTACAGGAAGTGATGGATGCAGACTCATCAGACTGAACTAAACATGCAACTATTTGAATTAGAGAGGAAATTGAAGCATTCAACAGCCAACTCTCATTTTTGAATTAGTCAGTTGTCAGATATTCCTTCTTCTTTTTTCAAGGTTTTACTCGTAGTCGCAGTATTTTATGAACAAGAAGATGTGTGTTTCTAAAGCCGTGTGTGTTTTAGCTCAATTCACAAGCACTGAGGGCAGTTTATGCTTTCACAATCAATGGATAGTATTTATAAAACTACAATCTGGGGTAATTGACCACTTGGGGTGCAACCCACATTTGTGCTGTGTATTATGAAGTTTCCCTAGCTCTCAGATGAAGCCTTTCACCCATGCTCCTGGGAGCATGGGTGAAATCTTTCACTACAGCTGCCTCATTTATGAAAACCCACTGGTTATCCTTAACTGCTTCTAATACACACACAGTTACAAGATACTGCCAGTTTATGTTATGCCATTGAGGGATTTTAGGCTTTTTACTGTCAGAAGGTTCAGACAGCAGCCTGTCTGTGTTGGATCTTTGTTTCATTCATTGCCTTGAGACTCTCATGTTCACTTGTTGTTGAGGTTTTTTCTTTACCTTTTGTTGAACAACCTTAGCATGAAACAGCAAATGCTTGTCTTACAAACTTTATTTATTCTCCATTGTGTCATTTGGAGGTTATGTAGTATTAATATAAATGTTTTTTTTTTCTGTTACTTTCAAGTCAAACTCTTGTATACAAGAGTGTCACTGCAGAATTCCTACAATTGGCTTTTGGTTCTCAGACTTATTTTCTTTCGATTACATATTTACAGTAAAATATCACAAATACTGTAACAAATTTGACAAAACACAATGAAAGGTTACTTTGTAAGAGAATATGTTTTTCAGTATAGAACCTTGACTCAATGAAATACTACAAAATACTGAACAATCTTGATAGAAAGGAGTAATTTTATCTTTACATCCAATATCTTGGGAAACTAGTGTACCGCTATCACTTATTTTGGGTTAATATATCCTAATGAATATTTTGTACTTCAAGGTTTTTAAACATGTACTTCTGTTCTGTTTTTCCATTCAGCTTCAGCTCCAGTCTCCTCAGATGATGCATGGGGAACCCCAGCTCCGCCCTCAGACGTGTCCCCCTCCGGCGATCCATTTGGAGACGGAGCAACCAAAAGCAACGATCCCTGGGGTGCACCAAGTAATGCTAGTGGTGATGGTGCAGGTAAAATATGGCTTTTTTTTATGCATGTTTCTGTCATCCATCCATCATTTAATGAAGCATACTGTGATTGTGTCTGATGTGCTTTGTTCTAATTACCTCTGAGTAATCTAATGAAATACTTAATTTTTTTTTTCTGCTGCCTAGTGCAACGTGGCAAATTGTGATTTTGTAATCTAAAGTTTGTGGCTCTGTTTGTGCGTAAAACCATTTTTTCTGTCATTGTGTGATTTTCATCTCAAAAGTAAAGCTTCTGCATGTGAAGCCTTTTTCCCTTCAATCCTTTTTCCTCACATCATCTGTACTTTGGCCGTCATTCAGCTAACAATCTTAACCAATTAACCTTCTCTTCCGCTTTGCTCTCTCTTCCTCTCTGACCTGGCCCCTAAAGAAAACACCTTTTAGAGTAGCATTGGACCTTTATTTGATTTCAGGAAAGCGAACATCAAAAGAAGAGGAGATCTGTAGAAAGACTGCTTCATTTTTGGGCTCTACAGGGGCGTCACTGGTTGACGTGGACGATCTGTTTGCCCCGAACCCCAAAACCAAACAACAGCCCCTCATCAACACACTCGCTGCCCGAACACAAGCCATCGGTAAGGTCAGAAAAAAAGCATCACTCTGGGTCACAAATACCCTTAAGGACACAACCTGTGTGGAGTATTACATGCAGATCACTTGATTATTAAGGAGGCATGATTCATTTTCCTGGGAACCAAAAACATTGCTGTTTCCATGGTGATTTTCAGAAGGAAGTGTTAATAGAAAGAAGCTAAGATTGACCAACAGTTGTTAATGGGTTTCTATGGAAACGCTTATTGTGATCATTTTTGCACCAACCCGTCCCTCCTCTGTGGTCTTGCTGTCACATATAGATGTGTGTAAAGTTGCTCTCTGTAGATAGTAGTGTAGTAACCTGCCGACATGTTCTCATTCCTCTCTCTGCTCTACTTTGGTGTCTCTTTTCTGGAATGCTTCAAACTGCATACCCCACCCTCCCTCCTTGCCCTGCCTCCTCCTACCGCTCACACTCATTTCCCAGGCACATCCAAAGGCATGACATTTGGTCCTTTGGCCAGATCAGGGGCATTCACTGAAACTTTAGCCCCAAACTATAACCCCTTTGGTCCCAGCCTGGCACCCACTCCTGGTGTAACTCATTCTTCTTTTGGAGCTGCTGGTCCCTCTGGTGAAACGCTCCGGTTTAGGGAACCGTTGCACGCTCTGGGAACGCCTCACTCTTCTGTGCATGTTCTTCAAGCAGCTCAGGACGCTCCAAAATATGGAATGCCACCACCTGCGACACAAATGGGGTTGCGAATGTTGGAGTCAGAATATAATGTGGGCAATACTTTAGGAACAGGAGATGCTGCACTTAGCTTTTTTGGAGCAAACTCAGCAGGTGTAAATCCATTTCTAAGTGTTTCTCCACAGACAGGAAGTGAGAACATCACAGGCAGTGAACCAAATGAGATGATCATAATCGATACCAATTCATTCTTGCTTTAACAGATTCTTTAATTGAGTCAAACCAAATTGTTATTAAATATCAATAAATAACAATAACCATTATGGAGCTTTTCAGTTTTATGACCATGACGTTGTTATTTAAGACATGTTTCCACTTCTATGTCTGTTGACACAATGAACAGAATCTGCTTATGAAATGGTACATTATTCTTAAAACCTTCCCTTTTGTATTTCATCCATTCCTTTAACTGTCCAAATGAAAAACATGTCAGCTGATGATGTGAAAAAATTATTATATTAAAATAACTCGCCAGGATAAACCATTAAATCTATCTGGGAAAGGAAACACTCAAGTGTCTTTGGGGAAACACTAGAGTAACTGTGTATCTGTGTGGTTTTTTTTGTTACATGTTTGTTTTCTTCAAGTGTGCATGTGTTCAAAGGACATTTGTGTGTGTGACGTGTGTGCACACTGTGCAGGTGTGCAGTATATAGTTCTATATATATTGTGCTGATGTAAATAGTGGAAGTAATTACTGCTAAACCTTGAATTATACTGTATATCAAAGTGTTACAATCAAGATTAACTATTTATGGATATATTTATTGATTTATTTATTGCTTCGTAAATTATTGATGCAGCCGCGGCCTCCAACAAAAGAAGATCAGGTGAACTTATATGACAGTTTACTGGTTTAAAATTCAGCTCGGTAACTGTAGGTGTGTTCATTTTATCCTCTCTGATAGGATTCATCGTGCAGTGGAACATGTCTGCGTTGTATGTCCCAACAAATGACTTTCTGTTACATGCATGCACTCTGAGCACATCCTGTTATCGTATATATGTGAGTGTGTGTGTGTGTGTGTGTGTGTGTAAGAGTGAGTTTGACCTTTACAGTTTTGGTGAGTGAGTGAAACAAAATTCTGTATTTTAGAAAACACCTGCTATAAGAGTAAATAAAGGGATTGAGTTGATGTCGTTCTGGTTCCAGCAACGTGGAGCTGAACAGCAGCAGCTGAAGGGACTGAAAGTTATGAAAGTTTCAACCTATACTGAGCCATGCAACTTCTCACAGGTTGCTTCATTTAAACTGTTTGCATTCTTTTAATCAACTCGGGGGGGCTACCTGTTCATGTTCTGCTTGATGTGGATGAAATTAAACATTTTGATTGAATGAAATCTGATTTTATGCTCACTTGGAATCTAAGTGTTTCAGGTTTTGCTCATCCTAAATGATTAAACAGAAGGTTGCTCTTTAAAGCCTCACACAGCAGATGAAACGTCTGTGTAAAGATAGAAAGAAGGTCAGCCTCTGTCTGTTCAGACTATGAGGATTTAGGCAGGTAGACTGAGTGATTTTCAGATTTTATTTTGTATGAGATACATTTATTTTGCTGTGTATTTACCTTTAAAAGTGTGTTGTAGACTGTGACAGTGTACAGTATGTTTGAGAAATAAAATGGATTATGTTGCCCCTATATAGTGTGCTCTGTCAAAATTTGTGTTTCAAAACAGTGCAGTCATTTTTTATCTCTGGTAATCAAATTGAGAAAATAACATTTTTGTCTTGTTTTACTATTTAAACAAAAGAGAGGCAAAATATCTAGTTAAGGAAAAGGTTGGGTCACCCTGCCCACTATTAGTTACCCTTTGGCTTAAATAGCTTCATGAAGATGCTTCTTGTGACCTTCTACCAGAGAGATGGAGCTTATTCTAAAAGACAAAATCAAATAAAAAGTAGAAACATTAAAAAAAAAAAAGTACAGCATTCACAGGATTCATTTGATTCACGTGGACCCAATAAAGGCTTATTTTTTACCCCTTGTTTTATAGTACATTATTTTATTTTAGGAGGTACATTTTCATATCCTATCATAAAAAGAGAACATCTCCATTCAATGAATTATAGATCTAAATCTATAATTTTGAGCTCAATTTTATATTTACATTAACATCTGATATTGTCAGTATCAGAAGTCACCGCAAGAGGGCGATAATGAGCCATTACGACACCACCACGTTTTCATGTTTTCAGCACATAATTAGTCTGTGTATTCACATTTTGAGGTAAGACCAATTTTGTTTATAATATATAAAATTGTATTATTCAGTAAGTAAATATTTTTTTAATTAATTGTGATTTAAGGTCCCTTTCAAAACTGGCATTTCAAAACAAGCATTTATGTTTTGATCTTTAAGGTCAATCAATAAGAAATACTAATTTATTACTGTATCTAAATGCAATATTTTAATAAAAATTATTATTTGTAGGAACCTTTCCATTCACGTGCATGTCCTGAATATTCCAGAGGTGTAAGATAATAAAGAGGCCATTACATAATTGTTTTTTGAGTAATTCAGGATATCCAGCTGAGCCGGATCTCAGTTGTTACATTCATGGAGAAAGAAGCTTAGAGTCTAAAAGCACAGAGATGTGTCACATCAGGATAAAATGGGTCGGTCAAGTCGATGTGTTACCTATTTTTACTCAAGCAACTTAAATAACATAATCCACAGGAAAAGCTCCCCTTTTTTTAGCAACCCAGATCCATAATAATTATAATTATGGAAACATAATGAGTATTTTCCATCCTGATGACAAACCATTTAATTAATTAAGCATCAGTAAGATTAAACTGAAAATGTGTTATAAGGCGTTAACAGTCTTGTTTCGAAATCAAATCTGTGTGATAAACCTTCATTGTTCTCAATTTTGTCATTTAAAATTTATCATCTTTGGATGGCCTATTACAACTTGAATCTGAAATCCTATTTGCTTACATGGACTCTTTGGCAAGTAATAGAGGAGATAAAATGAGTGTAACTTTACCAACCTGTGGAGTTTAAGCTGTGCTACGTCAAAATGTTTCTTTCCTCTAGATTTCATGGTTAATGTTTTGGTGTGACTGGTTTTCTGTAGTGGCTCTGAACTCTGTTTGTGGGTCAAAATTATTTAAATTTTCATGCATTTCTGCTATAGCAAAACCACAACCTTTAGGTTTATGTGAGTGAAATTTTGAATTCCTTGTTTCTATCATAACTCAGAAACAGCTTCGATTTAAGGTGCATTTTGAAAACGCTTTCATCTGTAAATTAAGAAATATCAGCAACTTCTGAGTTGGATAAATGACATAAAGTTAGATGTGTGTAATGTTTCACACCTGAAACATGATAATGCTTGGACAGTTTGTGGTTTAGCAGTAGCATGGCTCCCCCATTTCTGGAGGCTACTGGTCCTTGAGGTAGCTGTTCGTGGATCCTCTACCCTTTTACTGTCTGAATACTGTAAATATCACACAAAAGCTTTTTAACATAATACAATATAGAATGTGTTTTAATTTCCCCCACTAGCCTGCAAAATGGGACATTGTCTTTTCGATACCTTCTCAAAATTTGACTTAAAGCTTCATTTTGTTGACAGAGGAAACTTTGTCTTGTGGTTTGAACTTTTTTTATTGTTTGAATTCATAATCTTCCCTTATTCTGCTAATGAATTGCCCAAAGACCCGCATCTTTCCTCACTGAAACAAATGCGCAAAGTGTATTATAACCTAACAACGTGGAAAAAAAAGTTCAATAATACCGTGACAATCAGATCCCTGACTAGTGTGTGTAAACATCTGGCCACAACTGTGCAGCTGCACTGAATTGTGTTGAAGGGTCAAAGCTTAAGAAGCAGCACGGACCATCAGAGTTTATCACTAACGCCCTCATCCAGCTCCCAGCTGTTCCATACCACGCCGTTAAATGAGTCATATTGGGTCAGGTTGGATGAGAGAGACAAGAAATGAAGTCAACAAGAGAAAGGAAAAAGCTGTGATGATGGAGGGATGGATGCAGTACGAAGAGCGAAGGGGTGGGAAAGTAACAGATGGACTTGGGCGGATTAGAGCGAATCTGGGTGGGTTTCTACTGGAAACCAGGAGCGATGCAGGAATCAAGAGAACAATTCAGGAAACCTGAATCTATTATTCAAGAAGGTAGAGGCAAACACAAAGTGAACGTTGTCTAGCCTACAGGCATTGGTAAGTGACACTTCATTCCTAATTTGTTGCGATGATTTCTTGCTGTGTGAGATTTTTTGTTGATCAAAAAAGTTGAGCTCTTCCAGCTGCAGCTGGATTTTCTAATCCCACCCCTAAGGGAAAAGATTTCAGCTCATTCTGATGAGATGCTTACAGAAGAGATCAACCAACACATTACTGCATGTTATTTCATGTGAACATTGGTGTTATTTATTCAAAAATGCATCGCAAAGTCACATCAAATGTGTGAAAAAGCCCAAAGGAAAACCTGAATGATGAGCCAGCAAACTGTTGGGCTTCTGGGAAAAAATGTTTTGCTCATATCAACTTGGAACAATTGATCGTTTAATTTAAAACAAATGAAATTACCAGGTGTCTTGTTGCACATGTAGATTTTTAGTAGCCAAGATTGTTAATTAAAAAATTTAGCAGAACCTCCTTAAGTAAAAGTATAAATTAGATTTGTTTGAACAAGAGAGTGGTTAGAGAGTGGAGTTCACTTATTGCCTAAATTAAACAACATAATTGTTTAATTGATAATTGTTTGCATGTTCTCTACAAAGTCTATTGTTTTGCTCAATATGTCTCAAAAACATATTTGTTCAGATTACAGTTTCTGTGCAACAGAAATGAATGCCTCTGCACCAACTTCTGCAAAGTTATTAAACAATCTTACGGTTGATAGAAGCTACACAATAATTACCGTAGTTAGGTTGAGGAATGAATCTTATTGGTTTGCGATTCTAATTCATTGTAAAAACAGGAAAAATAAATGATGTTAGCATCCAAAATTTGTTATCTTTTCATTGTGGATTTAAACAGTTTGGTTTAAAATCATTCCTCTTGATAGCTGTTTGCATGTCCTCTACAAAGTTTAATGTTATTATTTTTGTTGACTGATTTAGGCTCATTTAGGATTATTAGCAGAGCTGTACATAAATGTATTTTTAATTTGTTTAAAGGAGCAAGGTTGTCTTGAAGAAGTCTTGACTAATAAGTCATGGTTTCTGATGTCCATATTAACTTTGTTTTAAACTTTGGCTGATCTTTCAATCAATTCCTGTCCATATGAATGCCTTACTTTAGCAACGTGAGATGTGGTCCACTTCAGATGAGCAGAGTTAGGAATTGGGGAATAAAAACCAAAGTGTGAAACCTAACAGAACCTTAACACCTACAAAAAAAAAAAAAAAACCCACAGTGTCAGGCACAGGACCTGAGAGATGCATCATCCAGTGATCAGAGCTGTCAACATTTTTATTGATTATCTTTAACCATTGACCATCAGATCACTTTTTGCTTTCTTTTTACTGTTTCTATTCTTTAAAAAAAAAGTTAACTTCATGGTAACAACATAAATCTTTTTTGAAATATTTTATCGTCGAGTAAGAGAACCAGATAAAGGTTAGGATTTGATGCATAAAGGGGTAAAATTGTGGGATTTTCAGTTGGATTCAAAGTTCGAATAAAATCTGAAATTAAGAAAATCCAATCAGTGCATCTCTAAAATTTAGACATTTTTATAGATTGAGCAAGAGAAATTATAAAATTTTTTGATAAGCTGCTTTGTTGAGATAACACTGCTTCATCTTTTGAGTTGAGGAGCTTTTACTGTAACTCACAATTCATAAGATTGTTCAAACTAAATCATCTAAAACTAGTCTTCTCTTCTAGGTGGTCAGCTGAAACTAGACTTATGAAGCGGTCGAAGTCCAGAGAAAAACTTTTAAAGGCCTTTGGAAATATTGGACAGCTATTGATCAAGGATACTTTAGAGAAGAAAAAGATGAATGATCAGTTTTCACTGATAATTCAGTGAAAAGTTTGGTAACACTTTATTTGAATGGACTGACATGACACTGTCATAAACATGAAATAACATTTGTCATGAACATGAAGGAGTCTTTATGAATGTTGTCATGAAGTGTCATTCGGTAAATAATGACACTTTTAATGCAAAGTTGCTTTAAAAGTTGCCTCGAAAGTCCATTAAAAGTGCCAACTTTGCATTAAAGTGTCATTATTTTCCGAATGACACTTCATGACAACATTCATAAAGACTTCTTCAGGTGTTATTTCATGTTTATGTCAGTGTCATGTCAGTCTTATACACACCCATCAAATAAAGTGTTACCAAAAGTTTTTTTCACTGAATTAACTTTTCAGTAAAAAAAAAAAAAACAAGTCATTGCAACAATGAGTTGTTTCTCTATGAGTCATCATGTGAAGGCTGATGAAGCTTTGCATTAAGGAGCAAAGCTTCGTTTTATCGCACCAAAATCTGTTTTCACAAGACTACATTTTCAATCTAGTCGTTCCACCATAGACAGATGGATAAATAGGTCAACAGCACAACAGCTCCTAAGGTACCGATGAGCCAACATGAACTTTGCTTCCCTTAGAGCTTTGCAGATAAGAGGTGAAATATCTTCAAGAACCAAAGATTAATCCCAGTAGACTTCGGGTTAATCTGCCATGCCTACATTGACGTTACAGACTTATAATCTTTCAGGATATGCTTCAAGTTTTCTTGATGATTTTGGCCAGATGTCAACCTTCTTCTTCTCTTGTTCTCATGATAGGTACAGCATGAGAGTCACCGGGCATTAATCTCCTCCACCTTACCCAAGATTAAAACAGATTTACCGGACCCAGAGGCAGGCCTGAGATCCTGGACTAATCACTCCTTCTTTAACCAAATCCCTCTCGGAGAGGTGAGGGAACAGGTTGAGAAGAGGGATGTACCATGAGGCTGGACCTGATTAGATGTAAAATCCGGATTCTAAGATTTAAATCTGCCTTGGAGCGGGAAGAAGAACTCATCAGGAAGACGGATATGTGAGGAGCCTCGAGGCAACATGAAACACAGCTAGACAGGCGGCTGGTGCTGTAATACTCTCAAGAAACAAAGATCTTAAATTTAAATCTGATAACCTGCTTTGTTCGCCTGCTAAATCCCAAGTTTCTGTAACAGACACTACAGCTGGGATCCTCCAGCTTCGATAAGGACGCAACAGCTGGAGCTCCTCATGCAACCTCCAGTCGTCGGCACATCTGCCGCAACTTGATTAAAACTCAACACTTTCTTTCCCTCTCTGTCCTCTGACCTCTCATCAGATATCTTTCCTCAGATCCCGCCCTCCTTCCAACTCTTCACCACTGCTCATCTTCCTCACTTTTGTTTCTCTTCTGAAACATCCTTAATCTCCTTATTTTCTCCTCTTCTGCCCTCCATGAGTCACTCTCAAACTTCTAATCAACCTTCCATGCTTCTTACTTTTCACAAATAGTCCTAATCTTGATCTTGAGGATGCTTCAGCCTGCTGACCTTCATCCCAATAGGTCACCAAAACCGGTTGCCATCGAGGTAAAACCGACCCGCCGCCTGCCACGTTTCTCCTCTGGCTTCAGTCCGGTTGAGCAGTAACAATGCTGGAGAAAATGTCCAGACGTAACCGGACCCTGCTGTCCCTGGGTCTCACCTCTCTGGCCCTGACGATGTCCGTGTCAGCCTTCTGCAGTTCCTACTGGTGTGTAGGGACACACAAAGTGGTGAAGCCGATCTGCCTGTCACCGGTCAAGATGAAGAACTGTGGAAAGAACAACAGCCAGCCGTACACAACAGGTGAGGCTGCGAGGGCTGGGGATGATCAAAAGACCAGCTGCAAGTAATCTTTCAAAGATTTTCTTTGACATTTAAAGATGTTTTATTGCTCATTTTGAGTTGGGAGTCAATTTTCAGAGTCAGCTTTCTAACTCTGACATTTGAATATTTCCATCATAAAAAACCCTCCTAAATTTCAAACACCTAACCAGCAAACCAGCGCTGTCTCAACACAAAACCCACCTTTTAACTATGATGATCACCCAGTGTTGTCGTGGCCCTGTTGACTGTTAGCATTTTGAGAATCATAGTTCATGGAAACTTTGTTACAAGAAACCAAAATAGAAAAAACAATCATTGGAAAAACAGAAAATTACAGAAACATTCAACTTTCATATCTGGGAAATAAACACATGGACAGCATTTCATTAAAACAGGAAAGGGTTAAGTATCATTAAAGCACTCCAAAACCTCTAAACACTGAATAAATTTTATAAAAGTTTTATTATTAATGATATTTAATTAATGTATCATGTTCTCAAATACCAAGTCAAATATTTTCTACCCTCAAAGTCTAATGCGTCTTAGAATATTTTTACTAAATAATATACAGTGAATCTCAAACATTTTTCCTTCCTCGTTAAATTGACAGGTTCTTGTGATGTAATCTAGAAATCATGATTAATACTTTTGTAATTATTCATAAACTCACACATCTTGACAAAAACTTAAATTAAACCTAATGAAATGTAACACCAGACCATGATAGGGCCACCGCCATGCTTTATATTTCTTTGTTGATGCTCAGATTGCTTTCAACGTCCAGGCTTTAGGATATCTTAGCCTTGATTGGATGTTTTATTTGTCAGAAACCGTTTTTGTTTAGATTTGTTCACTAAATTACAAAAATGAGCAAATGGCAGGATATCCCTACTAGAATTTTATTTCTGAATAATCATATTCATTTTAATTGATGGTCGATTAAAACCCAGGTTAATCAAATTGTGAAAATGAATCAAAAGATATTTCTAAAAAGTATTATCCTATGGTTGTGCACATATGCAGCCAGTTTGCATATATTTTTTTTTAACTCAGATTAATTTGTTGGTTGTTGTTTTGTAAAAAGAAAAATATTACATTCAATGTGGGCAATGTTTTGAATTTATTTTTCATGGTTTAATCAATTTCTTACAAGAACCTATTTTAACTGGTGCACAAATTTACACCTTTCTCAGCCATTTGGCTCAAAATATTTGGATATTCTGTGCATAATTAAGACCCGTCTTTAACATGTTAACTTATGTAAACATGTAGCATTCTGTGACAAATATCACACAGGCTCTGTGGTATCTCTTAGCTGTGCACAACACATTATATGCAGCAGCATAATGTGAAACTGCAGGGCGTTCTCTGTGGAAAAATAATCCCCAAGCCAGTCATTTAATAAACAGGTTAAATTGGTAACCTGAGAGCTCAGTGGCAAAGCTTTGAATGTAGACATTTTCATACATAATTCACATAATCCCATGTATGCTCTAATCTCAGTATGTTGCAAAGTAATAAAAAACACCACAGCTGACTTTAAGAACAGGGTTTGAGAGCTTTACATGATGTCATTCAATGGATCATCACTTCATACAATTTTCTCAAACTCCTGTAGTTACTGTACAGGAATACTTAAAACAACCAAAAGCCACGTTTCTAGATCATTTTAGATCATATAATCTGGATTTGTTCCTTCTCAAACAGAGGCTCCCACCCCGAACCCGGAGTCCAACGTGACGCTGTCTCCCCAGCAGAAGGAGGAACTGGCCCTGATAAGGAAAAAGCAGTTGGCCAATGCCGTGCAGTATCTGTGGGAAACGGGCGAGGACAAGTACATGCTGAGATATTTTCACACGGGTTTCTGGCTTTCCTGTGAAAAACACAATGAAGGTTGGTGAGGCAGACAGCCAAGAGGCTGAAAACAGGTTTAGATGATTACTTAATGTGTAAACTCATCTGTATTTAAACTGAAAAAGACAAGCAGTAATAACCTGAAATCTTGTGGGAATTTGTTCTAAGAATCTGGGTTCTAAAAACAGTTTCTAAGAACCAACTGAATAATTTCTTTCCAATGCAGCTTTGTATGTTATTTATGGGACTGCAAAGCACATAACTGATCAGAAGAAATGTGTTTTCGAAGGATGCATATTATAATGATTTTTTAAAAAGTAACGTTTGTTTATCATAAACATGAAAATAAAGTTGATGACAAACTTGGAACCCGTATACTTTTCTTCGTCTGTAAGTTTCATTTATATAAACTGAAATGTATGCAGCTATGTAGTCAAAATGAAGACGAAGGTGTCTGATGTTCAGAAACAACTGTGTGGTTAGTGCAACTGATAGCATGTACAGACCTGCAGAACCCAAGTAGAAATCACTCAACTTAGATCAGAATAAAATATTACAGGTTTCCAGAATTAATGTGTAAAACTGACAGAAGGTGAAGTGATTGCACTGCATGTGCTCTGTCTATTTTAAAACTGTTTACAGTATCTAAATCTGTTCATTAAATTAGTTTTTGGAATCAGATGACTTAAGGTTGTAATTAACATCTTGTTTTTAGGAGATGATCAGGAAGAAAAGTGCCGCAGCTTCATTGAACTCACCCCAGGAGAGACACAAGGTTTTTACAAAAACAGTTTTTGGCTATATCAAATATTATAGAAAATAAACAATAATAGACATATTATTTCTTGTTGACACTTGCAGGTGTGCTGTGGCTGTCTGTGATCAGTGAGTTCATGTACATCAGTCTTCTGGCGATGGGTTTCCTCCTGATGTGTGTCGAAGCGATGTGCCTCTGTGCCAAGAAGGAGATGAGCTCCCTGAAGATCAACGCCTTCGCTGCAATGTGCACCGTCCTTTCAGGTCAGCGGTGAAAAAGATTGTAAACATTTTTTGATTGTATTTTTCTGGTCAGTTGTGGTTCAGTAGACGCACTGGAGTCCAAACCAAAAGATTTAAATAAGTTCAAAAGTTTCTCTCTGTTTTTATACACTATGCTAGGTCATTTTTTTCTTTCCTCATCTCTTTTTTAAAATGATTCCCATGTTTGTCAGGTATGATGGGGATGGTAGCCCATATGATGTACACCACAGTGTTTCAGATGACAGTGAGCATCGGACCAAAAGACTGGAGGCCACAGTCTTGGGACTATGGATGGTCTTTTGCGTGAGTTAGTTTTTCTGATCTCCTTGCATTGGATATTGTCCAAGGCTTTTAGAAGAACTACTCTGACTCTCACTGGTTTTTGAGAGCTATTAAAAAAACATCCTGTGTCTCTTTCTGTAAAATGAAGGCAGTAACCAATCAGTGTCCTAACTCATAAGAAACCAACTTTAAATAATTTCCAGAGGAGTCCCTTAAAGTCCAGGTCTATCTCTGGGCATTGCTGTTTTTATAACACCGTATCACGTTGTATTGGGAAATTAAATAAAAGCAATGCTCAGTGTTGTTTTCTTTTCATGTCTCAGGTTAGCATGGCTTTCCTTCAGCTGTTGCATGGCAGCGGCTGTGGCAACACTCAACTCGTACACCAAGACCATCATTGAGATGAAGCACAGAGCCAGGTTGAGGCTGGAGGAAGCCCGAGCTGCTACCATCGCCCCGTCCTATGAGGAGGTTGTTCGAGCCGGAGGCGGAGGGCTTTACTCAGTCAGCCAGCTGCTTCATCTCGGCCAGCAGGGGGCCCTCATGGATCCACTGTGGCCAAGAGGAGTGGGACCGGCGGTTGGACCTTTGGCATGCGGTGCTGGTGGGGCCCTGCTGGTTGGAGGTGGAGTCGGGGGCATCGGCATGGGAACAGGAGGAGTTGTAGCTGGAGGAAGCACAGCCATAGGAGGAGCAGGTGTTGGAGGAAGTGGAGTTGGGATGGGAATGGGAAGCACTGGTGGGACAATGGGGGCGATGGGAGGAGGTGGAATGGGAACAGGAAGAATGGTGGACGCTCACGGGGTCGTAGTTGTGGAGGGATGCGCCACAGAAGGATGTGAGGAGTGTGAGCGAGAGATGGATGAGATAGATTACACTCTGCAGGAGGAAAGAGAGGACTCCATCTGCTAGGACTTACAGGGCTAAAGACTGGAAAACAACACAAGACTTGAAGAATCACCTGTACTAGGTTTTTTGTACATAAACTGTCTTCGAGTTTTTAGATGTTAGCTGTGTCAGTTTCATGATCACTAGACTAAGATTTCCAAACATAAATGGCTTGACTAAAGTTTTTTTTTTTATCATGTTTTGTCATGCCTCTGAAGTTTGAAGTTTGGATTTATTCGTATTGCAGTCACATAATAAATATCTCTCAAGTCTTCTTGAAGAGCTGGTGAGTATTGTCACAGTAAACCTACAGCAAAGATAATAAAATATCTTCAAAGTGGTACAGAAAAAAAGACAAAAAGAAAAAGTCACGTGGGGCGAACTATCGGTGACATCAACACAAGCACAGCTCTGAAGTCAAACTCATCTATTACTTAGAGTCATGGTGAAATGGAAGTGCCCTCTTTCTGGTTTCAGTCAATAAATGATCTGGCTTTATACCATAATTTATTTAACTATAGCCTCAAGTATACAAAACCAAACACCAAAGATTTCATATATTTTAAGAGAATTGTCTGTAATGCTTTAGATTTAGCCTAATCTTGCTCATACTCATATAAGGACATTTGCTGGTAATTAATCTAAGACTGGTAAATCCAAGAGATTTTGTGAATACATGTGACAAGCTGGTCATAGTGGACATTTCACAGCAGCGTCTTTAAGTTTACTCATCATTATCAACTGAACCAGGTTACTTGTGTAAAACTAGCCTTACACTGACTTTTTATGTGAATGAATGTGTTTTATCAGTGATTTAGATAATCAGAATTCAAAATTACATCTTCTCAGGGCAATTGATTTTAGTCATGTACTTTTTAGCCACAACTGTTCAGAAACACTTATGGAGATGACAGCAGTTGCAAATATACACATTTAGTTATGACAAAGTGACAAGAGACGTTTTGAATTTAGCGTGGCATGGATGCCCTGCTGCCTCCTGTTGCAACAAGTGCAGGTCTGAAAAATAAAAAAAACTAAATTGTTCTGATTTAATTTTTATTAGAGTTCTGCAAAAAATGTGGGTAAAATGGTATTATTTCTTTTATTTAGAGGGGTGGGGGTTGGGTTGGGTGTTGGAGCCTGGGAGTACAGTGACTCAGTTGAGGCGCTTTGGACATCTGGTCAGGCTGACCCCTGGGTGCCCCCCTCTCAGGGCATTTTAGGGCAGACCCAGAGTCAGATAGATGGACTCTATAAAAGCTTGGGAAAAGCTTTGTGTCCCACAGAATAAGAGTTTCATTGTTTTTTCTCCTAGACCGGAGACCCTGACGATCCAATCTCAAATAAACTGACGACACAGGATGCATGTTTTGGTCAAATATTCTCAATCAACACAGATTTTTCAAAAAACACAAACTGCTAAGCAGTGTCAAGAACTTTCTGGGAAAATTATAGAGTGTGATTGCTGCTGTATGGTTTGGTTTCTGCTTCTGAGAACGTGAAAAAGTCTGTCTAGGAATACTGAAAAAAGTGAGATGTCTGTGGCAGAGAGGTCTGGATTTTGAGACAGATGTTTTTAGATGTTGGACAGAAGATTATGTCAGTAATCTCTACCAGTGATGGAAATAAGACAGCAAGAGAGAGAGGGATTGATTTAATTCAGGCAGTGAGGCGGAGATAAAGTCAACTCTAAAGTTATCGAATGGCACTGTATGAGGACAGTAATTAAAAATGTAATTTAGGAGGTTAGATAATGCAGCAGTTATGCAACCTCAACCATATGGGCAGTAACCAGCTCCTGTAACAATAATTAGCAGCAGAATAATGTTGACCACAGCATTTTGCTTTTCTAATAAATATTTATGATTTTTCATAAACTGAAACACAAATCAGTTCCTCTGACTGAGGAATTGAGTCAGAGGAACTGATTTGGAACAAACATTTGTTTGTTGTCTTCTAACAATGACAACAAACAGAATACTTGTGAACCTTTTTTCAAATATGTCTTTGCATTTTATTTGACATTAAAGCAAACAAATTCTAAAACCTCGTTTTATCAGAATTTTATTGTTTCCATTTATTGAATATATTACAAAGGAACATGCAGGACCAACGCTAATTTTCATATTCACCACATAAACAGCAAACATGTAAAATTGTGCCCCGGGGTTAAGATAAAAATGGTAAAAGACTAATTAAGCTAAAGTAATGAAGCAATATTGTATGTCGGTCAGGGTTCATAAACGATAATAATTATTATAATTAACTACTGAATTGAATACATCTTCATAGCAAAACAAACCTTCATTATATCCCTTTTTATTTGCACTAAACACTGGCTGCATCAGAAATTCATCATATATAAATGTATGTGTTTAAGTGTCAGATGGGTCCAGAAAGGTTTCTGTCCACTAAGCAGCAGAACCGACAGACAGCAGTTTACAGATACTTGTAAAGCATATTACATACTGATTTTTACAGCTATCTGTTTGCACTACTTCACTTTTTCCCAGGTTTTATTGTATCCTTCATATTTCAAACTACAAACAACGTGGACAGCACACGGAGACAGGCAACAAAACCAAGCAGGGGGTTACACTTCAGCATTTTTCAAGGGGCATTATGTACAGTCATGTGTTCACATTGTGTGAGGATACCGTCAGGTGTCACTGCATTTACAGAAAGACTAGGACCAGAGGGAAATGGATCAGTCAGATAAAAAAGTTATTTTAAAGGCTCATACTGAATCAAACGGAGGGCGTCTTCATTTTCCAACAATCCTTTGATGAACTCTCCCTCTGCAACTCGGTCTAGAGAAAACAAAATAAATAGCAAAACATAAAGTTACACCATGATAAATGCATACTTATACATTTAATAATACAGAGTCTAAATGTATTTCCTAAGAAATAAAAGATTTAAAATGACAGTGAGTAAAATTGTTCTGGTCAAACTGGAACAGAGATTTCACAGATATTGAAAACAATTTGAAATGTCAGCAGTTTTAAAAATCATTTTGCATTCGTGACCTTAATTAAAAGCAAAGAAATTCCTGGCTCCACTTATAGACAATTGAAAAAGAACAAAAAAAATAAAAAATAAAAAATAAAAGATTTGAAGCAAAAACTTATTCACTACTTTTGCTCTTGAGACATTTTACTACATTTTCTATTTACTGCTATCAATACCACTTCCTCTTACCATTGTCACCCTTATCGAAGACTTTCCAGAGTTTGTCTGCCCTCTTTTCAGGTGTGTTTTCATCGTCAGGTAGATCGCCCACTTCATCTGACGGTATCAGCTTGAAAATTGACTGTAAGAGAGGAAGGAGAGTAAATAAATTGTTCAAGTCAAAATAACGAGTTCTTCTGTGGAGTTTCATACAACGTTGTCTCCAGTCTCAACTCATTTCTCTGTAATTGAATGTACCCAATGCAACAAAGAATGAAGTAAGCATCTACATTTATTTACAACAAAAGTAACATCCTTCCATAAAGCCATGTTTTTGCTGAGCACCTCTGGTTTTATCTAATTATATTTTCTCTTATCTTTCACATTTATATTTGGCAACAAAACATGCTTACATGAAAAGTGGACAATCTTATGTAGTTGGCTGAGAGTATATTCATATGAAACTACATTCATAGATTTCAAGAAAATATAGAAGTATTTGTTTTAATGAAATTGTTTTATCCTCAAAAGGACATATTACATGAACTTTTATTTCAATTCTTGCATGTCTTGTTTTTGTCACCATTTTGGATAAATTAAATAGGACATAACTTCCCTACATAGAGTTTTTTTCTAATGTTTGAATGTTCAGAATGATTGAAGTCACAAAGTCTCAAGAGCTGCTTTATAGCATCCATTCATTCGCACTGTCGCACATTGATAATGGAAGGTACATGGTCAGTCTGACAGAAGTGAGGCTACCATGTACCGGTACCACCGGGCCCCCTGACCACCACCAGGCCCCTGCACCACAAATAGCAAACAAGGTGAGTGAAGTACTTTGTCCAAAGACACAACGACTAAGACAGACAGAGCATGGGTTTGAATCAGAAACCCACTACAGGACAAACTCTTCCCTCCATCTTTTTACATTATCTAATTGCAATATCACTTTATCAAAATTTAAAATAAAAGAAAAATTGTGCCTTCTCAGCAATTACTTTCAATATTTTGGCGTTTTTTATATTAGCTGCTTTATTGCTGTTGTAAATTTATCCTGAAAAGTGCATCCATGCAGTCAGTGTCACTAAGCTGTCTTCTGACTCCAGCATAAGCTTAAACTGTTTATCACCGTGAATGAAAGTCTAATCCTGAAAATATGTTACCTAACCACTGGAAGGGCCTGACCTTTTGGCTAAAAATAAATTAGGGAACTGACTTCAGACCAGACATGGACAAGAAACAAGTTCACAATGTGGTCACAAAACAATAATTACTTTAACAAAAGCAGGTTGGGAAATTTAACAAAATATACATTTTTGACAAGTTACATTGCAGATTGATGTCCAAAAATGTCGGTCCATCCAATGATTAAAATCTGCCATTAAGAATCAAATTGCTGAGCTTAGAAAGTCAAAATCATTGGAAACCGGTCAGTACTTGCTTGTGTGTATAAATCTACATCAACGCAGTGGCTCTATTCTAAGAAAAGAAATGTCATGGTGAGAAACCTGGGAAGAATTGCAGGCTTTGTGAACTAACTCCTTCAATACAGATCACAGTCAGGAATGGACTCTGCCATGGAATACCAATAAAGATCTGCAACTTTCCAATCATGTCAAAAACTGACATGTAAAATGTAAGGCAGATGTTTCTGATAGTCATTATCCAGTTATCAATTGATCTACTCCAGTTGTTTATACTATGCTATGCTCTGAAAATATTGGAAAATAATATAATAATAGTAAAAATATTTACAGTTTCACAGCCTGAAAATATGTATAGGCGATTCTATTGTCAAACTCTATGCTGATGACACAGTTTTCTCCAGCTACGTATCCAAAACTCACTGTGCAGATTTCTGTGACCTCTGCCTTGGTGATGTATCCGTTCTTGTCCACATCAAACAGCGAAAACGCCCATTCAAGTTTGCTCGTGGTCTTCCCCGTTGCGGTCATGTGGAGGGCGATGATGTACTCCTTGAAGTCCAGAGTGCCGTCGTCATTGGTGTCGAAGGAGCGGAAGACGTGCTGGGCGTAAGTGTTTGCATCGCTGTCCGGGAAGAACTTGCGGTAGATATTCTGAAATTCGTCTTTCGAGATGCGGCCCGATGGACACTGCTTTTTGAAGTTCTCATACCACTGGACAATCTCAGTCTCTGAGAACTTGGTGTTGAGTTTAAGGTCCTCAAGGATCTCCTTGGACACAGCTCCGCTCTTGCTGTTACCCATTACTGCTGGTGTTGGAAATCTGTTTATAGGTTTAACTTGCCGGCCCTTGGTTTTTCAATGGCACTTGTAGCACAACTTCAGCCTCTGAACTTTCCTACTCTATTTTGTGAATTAGTAAAAGTTAGACTATTTATGAGACACAGCTAAAATGTTCTTGATGCTGGTGTTTGCCTGGTGTACAACTCGTAGACGCAAATGCTGTGAAAAGAGCAGAAGGCACTTGGTAAGCTCATTAGGCCTACGAGTAGATCCGGTAAGAGGTGTCAAGGACATGTTTTATCTTAGGTCAAATCTCAAATGCTTGTTTTTCATTCAGTATGAAGAGGGTTCTCTGACAGGGTTTAGAATCAAATCAAGTTAAAAAGTATTAAAATGCTGTGAGATGAGACAGGAGTGGGTGTGAATGCTGAACATGTTTCATGTTATCCCAATAGCGTCCCATGTGGACAGCTATAAAATGCATCTGATAGCTTTTAATATCTACACAACATAAATATATAAGAAAAATGAACAGCTGAAATAATTATTTAGTAATTTTCATCTTTTGTACACACATTTCATCACTTACTGCTAATTAGCCCGGATGATTGTAAAGTATAATCACTTTCCTGCTGACATATTTCTGCAATTATAAAGTTGTGTTGAACTACATTTGTAAACTACTATTATTCTAAAGTGTGTGGAGGTTTTAGAAATCACTCTTCTAAATGGTCATTAAATGGGCTGAGGAAGAAATTTAATGAAACAAATAAAAAAAGAAAACAACCAGAAAGAGACTTGAAATCTCTAGATACTGGTAATCCTCTATTGCTGCTGTAATCCAGAGTGACAAACAACTTGAAGTGACCTCAGATATAAACTGTAAAGCTGTGAGAGACACGGCAGAGGTAAGGGAGGCTGAAACTATAAGCTGTACAGGCAAAAACACCAGGGCAGAGATGATAAATGGGAGAAAACTGATTTCTATGGTACTTTGGTGGTAGGGGTGACCTAGCTTAGCATATGCTGGTTTGAGAGCAAATCTAAAACTTGATTGTTTTTTTTTTAGTTCTTCAAATACTTGCATCATAATGTTTTGCAGTATTCAAGAATGTAATATGTAATAGTTATATTTGCATAGGATGCTCAGTCACAGTAAACTAAGTGGGAGGGAAACATCTGTCTGGCGATGTGTCCAGGGTGAACCTGCCTCTCACCCACTGCTGGAGAAAAGCAAGGATGGAGACGTTTGACAGGTAACAGAATAATGACCCTCCAGACTTCCTTCCAGATGTTTAAATTTTTGATTTTGTGATCTGGAAGGTCGTGCCATTTTTCTACTAGTCAATGGAGAGCTCCGAATTTCCACCGGGTTTAGGAAAATTTTACTAATTTGATTCTGAACACTGTGAGGAGCTCTCAAGTTATCAAATGGTTCAAACTGTTAGTGGTTTGATAAAAGTCCTTACACTAACACCTCTTAGAGTGGTATTTTGGACTGACTGATTACAAATATAATATGCCTTCTTAACAATGGTTTTTGTTGGGGGTTTTCAGTTATGTATTGACTTGAATTAGTTGAACAAAATTAATTCACATTGACAAGTATTTTGTATATTTTAAGCAAAATCTGAAACTGGCTGTTTCTGAATTGTGGCACAGTCTATAATAACATTAACATAAACATTCGTTTGAATAAATAGAAGTATACTAAATAGGTTTTTCTTCAAAATTCTTCAAAATTTCAAACATCTATAGTTCTATACCTGAAAACAATGTCACAGTGTCATAATGTAGCGTCCATGTCCAACTCAGCTTACTGGGATTTCAAAGTCACACTAAACATTTTAGAAATTCCTCAGTCAAACAAAAGTGATTATTGTCTCATTATTCTGTGTCATCAAAGGAAACAATACTATTCCAAGATTTTCTCTCCATCATTTTTTTTTCATTAAGTAAATGTCAATATTTCTTCAAATTAATCTTCTCAATCAGGACATTTCAAACCCAGTTATCATCCCAGAATCTCACAGTAAGCACATGCTAAAGAATCTACTTCCACACCAGCTCAGTTTCAGGTACCTCAGATAAACACACAGAAGGTCCAGAACAAAATGAATAAAGCAGAAATCACACTTATTCAATGGCAGCATAAAGCGACAGCAATGTGAACAAACAGCTTCCAGTTCGGTTTGTGTCCTACCTGTGTGATCAGTGGAGCGGTTTGGCGCTAACAGTGATGCTCTGACTGTGATCAGCAGAGGAAACCAGGTTCCACCTGCTGAGATAAGTCAATTGGACCGGCTTCCCCCTTAGAGGCGGAGCCACACTAACATCCATCAGAACTCTGACAGCTTCAGGAAAATTAATTTTCCTTTCTTTGTTGTAAAATTTGACAATGACTACCTCACAAGTAGCTGCTTTGGATTTCTAGACCACCAGTTAGTTAATGTCTTTTTTTCTTTTTAAATTTACGCTTTTTCCCCAAATCATATAACAATAGTGAGGAACATTTTTATAAACCTGAGATAAAACACATGAAGTTGAAATGCTGCATAGTCAAAACTGAAGACATAGATGCAAATCAAGTACAATAAGAAATTTACTTGATTTATTTTTATTTAACTTTTGGTGGGCTCAGGAAAAATGCCTCACTCAGGGTTTTGTTGGTGGCAAAACCACAACTGATGAAGTTGACAGACTTTCTTGAGTCAGTGGTGTCCAGGATCTTTGCCACGCTGGTGGAAATTGTAGGGCAGAAAGCCATAATCAGCCACAAAAACTTGATTTTTGAATAAAAAAACATTCTGTGAATACTTCTACATGCTCAACTACAAACAAAACAAGGAATATTTTATTGAAAGAAGGGAGCTGTATGAAGTCATCCCGTGGCACACCAACAGCCCCTGGGCCGCACTTTGGACATCCCTGCCACAAAGGGCTCAAACTTTGAACAACGACTAAAGTCTAACACCAATCACTAAGTATGGAAACAATTACTATGACCTAAACTTAGTTGAGTTTTAAAACTTATGTTTTAAAACTTATGTTTTAAAACTCAACTAACTTATTTATTTCAAACAAAAGATTCATGGCCACCTCTGGATCAGCGATGTGCGGTCAGGGGAGAACTCTCCTGTAATCCTGAAAAGTAAAATAGATGCTAATAATGATGAGAGAACATCAAATTTTTTGTATAAATTAGTTTTTTTTTTATTTGTAATGTCAAGAACATCGATTTTTTTTATGGCTCATGTACACAACCTCAGGATTTTTTTATGTCAGCTTCTGACAATGTCAGCCATGTTGAATAAATAAAATAATGTGCAGAATCCTGAGCCAAATAACCTTATTGTGGTTTGTAGCAGCAGTGTTTCAGAAAATCACTGATGTGTGTATTTGTGTGTGAAATGCTGCTATATCACTTTAGGTAACATTGGTTCTAAATCTCCAGTCTATCTGGTAGATTTCCAAGAGACCTCGCGAGCTAATGGTGCTAATGTGGAGCCAGAATTCCAAAGTCGATGAGTTATGTTGTTGTTTACTATAGAAAAGAGATTGTTATTGATTTGTTTAAAAACCAATAAAGATAACCATAGTGCTCAAACTACACAAATAGGACATCATCAGGTCTGATCAGTTGGATGTTGCATGACTTGCCTAAAATTTCTGAATAAACGTGACAGAATTTAGTTTATCTTCACAGAGTGTAGGAAATACTTTTCATAATGTATCAGTTAGATTTCATAATAATATGCACCTACAAAACCTTATTTAATAAAACAAATGTGTGTTTTTGACAGTCAAATTGAAACTACACGAAAAATGTTCCTAAACGGATCGGAGATAATTTGTGTTCTCCGAGCCGCCTTCACACCTGCTCAGAGCGAGGTGTGGGTTTTCTTATGTACAGATCTGCAGTTACAGCAAAGCAGATGGAGGATTCAGCAGTCAACACTTAGTTAATTAAGCACATTTAAATCCTGTACCGACTGCAGCAGAGCCACCCTCCACCCACCGGATTTAAGCCATTAAGTCCTGACCTGATCAAAGGTTCACAGTAGTTTTGGAAACAACTCTGCTTTATTTTTGCCGCTGTTAAGTCCTACAGAGTAATTGTGGTTCGGTCAACCGGCTTATTTTAAGCTGAAGTTCAATGCAAGTCAAAGCGCTGCAGGATATTTACTACCTGCTTGTTTGCACAAATCTTCCCTCCCAAAAAGTCTCAAAGTATGTCTGTCCACTGGACAGACATTCTGTTATCAATGATGCTTTTTCACAGATATGGTTAAAAGTAGAAAAGATATTTCATCTTAGCTCAACTGGACCAGTGCTGGTCTAAAAATGTGTAAAATAAAATTGGCTCTTGTCAAAGGAAAATCAATTAAAGATAATTAGAAAGCCCATAAAACAGTCCAAATCCTTTTGAGGGAGGGTGGAGTTAGGGAATCCTTCAACCAATTTCCTTTATTATAAGCCGATACTAGGTTTTCAAATACACTGGATAAAACACAATTCTTTCTCACTGTCTGACATTATGTTTAACAAAATGCCAAAATAAAGAGAAAATATTCAAATATTAATTCGAGGAAATATCTATATAAATACAAATCTTTATACTCGGATATTTTGACCAGGTCAAATCTTTTTTCTCTCTCTGTCTTTCCCACTTCATTTGTTATCCATATTTTTGTACCACTTTTTCTGCTCTGGGTCATGTTTGAACTCTGCTTAAGCTCTATTCTTAATCCATTCTACAATTTCTCTGTACATACAGAAATGCAAACGTGTTGTAATGTTGCTTTGACAAAATGTTTTACATTTCATAATTTACTTCCACAACAAAAGATATTGGTGTGGAATATATTTCTAAACAAAAAAAACATGTTTGCATCCAGCCAGGGAATGGTTTGTTCATTGCTCTGTACATTATTTGTTCTGGCAAAAGGTGGAGGAGATAAGATGGAAAACCTCCTTTATAGGAGGTTTTCCATCTTGTTTTGTTACTTTATTTCATCCTATTAGTGCTCAGTCCATCTACATGCAGTTAAACTTAAATAACAACTTTATATTTACCAAAATAATAAGATTTTTTTTAATGTTATGCATTTCATACCAATTTGTTGACATTGACATATAGTTACTTTTTATTTTGCCCATTTCTGAGGTTGTTGTTTCAAGGAATGCCTTTAATTTTTCATCAGCAGATATTATACATCAAAAGAATAATTGATTTTTGCATTTTTTTTTTACTTTTTTTTTACCCTTTTTGTATTTCCAAAGGAAAGTAAATGATCTGCGATCAATACAAGGTCGTGAAGAACACCATCATTATCTTTTAGTTACCAACAGACAATTTATGTATAAGTTAGCATCGAATTATGTTATGACTTTTAGGAAAGGAAAATATTAAATATATTTCTCAGGTAAACCGGCCTTAATGCCATTAAAAATAATTTAATATTGTTGATGTAAAATGGTGGTAAAAGAGGAGATATGCTCAAATATTAGGAATAATGTTTTTTAGAAATGAGGAAAAACTACAAACAATGACTTTGAGTTTGTTGAGAGCAGTGATGGTTATAAAGTCTAAGAGCTGCTTGGAGGAAGGATCTGTGACGACTCTCCTTTGTGGACCTGTCACTGAATGAGCTTCAGCAACAGCTTGATGCATGGAGAGGAGAACATTGTCTGGATATGATCTTATCCAGAGTTCTTCTGCCTCCCACCACCTCCACCCAGTGGAGGGGGGCATCCGACCTAGACGGAGCTGGCCTTCCTAATGAGCTTATCTAAATGCTGCCTTTCAGCAGTAGATAAGCTGCTGCTCCAACACAAAACACTATAAAAGATGTCTGACGTCACTGCAGAGTCAAAAAAATAATATGGCTTCAGTAGCGCCTCATGCACTTCAACAGATCTCCTCAGGTGGAATCTGACTTTTCTTGAGATGAGAATCAGCGAAGCGACTCCAGTTCAGGTTAAGGTGAAGACCCAAGCAACTATTTCTATGTATGTTTTCTGGATATTCACTGGTTCGAAGATATGATGGAGTATCAGGGCAAGACTAAGAAAAAATATGAATTAAAGTATAAATTATGAGAATGAAGTCACAGTAATATCAGAATAAACTCACAATATTTCAAGAATGAAGTTGTCGTATCACCATAAAGTCATTTCATAACAAGAATGAGTTGTACTAGAATAAAGTCAAAATAATAGGAGATAAAGTTGCAGTAGTGTGAAAATAACGTAATAATAAAGAATAAAGCTGTGTTATTAACCTAAATGTGACCAATACTTCTTGGTATTGTATTGCTTTTTCTTATTAATACTCCATTTTCTCTGGTGTACCTCTGACTCGCTCCCTTGTTGTTGCTTCTCACTCGGTATCCATCATCCTTCCTCTTCCCGTCAGGATCCCCCTACAGGCCTCACGCTGTAAAGAATCTGTATTTATAAGATAAGCAGGTTTTTTTTGTTGTGTGGCTTTGTGGACCAGCCTTTACCTCACACAATCCACAGTCTGACCTTTGACCCTTAACTTGGTTTGGATTAAATTCCAAGAAAGGGAATCCTTTAACTCAGAGAAGCCACGGATTAAAGTTGAAGCAGAGAGACTCAAAAAGCAAAGGTGGTGACGCAGTGCACTGTAAGGAGGATTTGGCACCAAGCAGAGAGCCGTAGAAACCTGGTGACTGGAATAAAGTTGAGCTGAAAGTTTTCTAAAAGCTCTTTGGCCAGACCTCAAGGTGTCTATTTCCAGAAAAAGAAAGTTTAATCTAGAAACACTTAGAGTCACATGACCAGGTCAGGTCCAGGACACAGTGGAGCAAATAAGGGATGGCTGCAGGTCTGTTTTTATTTATAGCAAAGTCTGGTTCCTATAGGAAGCCATCCTAAATTCAAAGCTCCTGTCACAATTGCTGACAAATAAATCAAATTGCTGGTCTAGATATGGCCAACATTTTTATGAACAATGTACAACTTAAGCTAGAGAGGCTGTCACAGTTGTCTCAAAGATGTTTGGGGTGTATCATTTGCTTACTAAGTTTTAGTAAGAGTCTACATTTTGTCAAAAACTCCCATCTTCTACGGTAATCAGCTTGCACTTGGAGTGTGCAAGAAGCTTAAGTGTTTAACCTGCACCACATTTTATGTGAAACCGGTCAAAGGTGTGTCAGTCTGAGGTGGAAGCAGAGGTGAAGGATTAAGGAGGAGTTAGGATCCAAGCAAGAAGAAGACAAGAAATATAAATCATAAATGTAACCGATAAAACCCCATTACTAAGCAAGTTTATTCAATGAGAACAAAATGTCAAGAAATAGAATAACCTTTCACAAGATTAGAAGATAAAGATTCAGGGGTCTTCTTTGCACAATCTCTCTTTCATTCATTTCACAGCCTATCAATATTACACCGAAGAAATAAGACTTTACATCTGGACTAGGTCTCATGTCTGAGACGGCTACAGAACAAAGAGCATGTTGTGTCTACAGAATCCTTCTTGTGTTGATGTCGCCATTTGTTTGGATCACTGTCCTGTTGAAGAACCTAACGATGAAACATTTTCAGTTTTCTGGAAATTAAATTAGACTTTATTGTCCATTCACGTGAAAATTTATTTTTGATTTTTTTGCCCAACTACACCACACAAACAAATGTGTTGTACTCTTAATGCATTTGTCATGCTGTGTTTTCCAACATGTTTTAAGGACAGTTTGTAATTCATTGAATATTTTTTGACTGAAAAAAAAAAAAAATCACAGAAAAGGATAAAAACATTTCCACCAACCTTTTATTTGCAAATCCTGGAATAATTTTGGTTGCTGAAAAAAATGTATCAAACTTACATATGAAGACACTCATTAAAGATATAAATTTGACTGCTATTGGAAATATGTTTTTGTTTTGGTGACCATAATTTCTTAAGAACCAGAAGAACAACACAGAGTTGACGTTCCAGAGCCATTTCTTCATAGTTCCCTACATTTTCACAACAGAAGTGAGTTATTGATCAGGGATCACATACTGACTCACCTCGCATCAAAGAGCCTCTGGTTTTAATCCTGATCAAATGCTGCTTTTTGTAGTATATGTTTCCCTCTACAGGACAAACCAGGAAGATGTAATGAAACTACCCCTCTATAGGCAGCACTTTGTAAAAAAAAAAAGCAATTAACACTAAAATACCACTTTATAAAATGATAGCTAAAAAATACAAACACTGGTTAATAGTAAACATTTGAGTAAATACTTTGCAAGTAAAGGTGTACATTTGCTGAAATGATGAATACATATCTGTAACACTTGTTTTGATTCAGTAACTTTTTCTGAAAATACTGTCAGACACGACTGGACTTTGAATAATATTTGCTTCTCCGATGGGAGAAGAACTTCTGGCTGACTCGGCGGGCGAGCCGGTCCACAGTGGAGTTGTGATGTCCGACCTCCTTCTTGGGGGGCAGGCCCTCGATGTTCCCGCTGTACCACAGCACCCATCCAGCCAGAGACGCAACTATGAAGAGGACTCCTGCACAAATGTTGTACAGAACCATGTGTTATGTCTTTAAAATACCTAACAGCACAACAAGTCAATTGGCAAAATGAGCTTTTGATCAGATTTTAGCACAACTTCCAAACTAAAAAAGGAACAAGAAAAAAAATGGGTTCAGAGGAAAATACTTCCTAGTTTTGTACCAAAGACATTACATCCTAAAGATTCAGACTATATATATATTTTAAAGCACAGTTCTCATGCAGTCACAGTAAAAAGAAATTACAATGTCAATTGTTGGGCTTTGCAAATCCAGAAATAATCAAACTTAAAACCTAAATAAATACTGTTAAAAAGCATAAACACAGCAAGTATGTGGAAAATTTAGGTTCAACATTCATATGACTATAGGGGGCAGCAGCAGCCAAATGATGCTTAACAATTGCATCTGATTAACTGATCTGACCACTGATTAAAAAAAAAAGCAAGAGTTTTGTCAGGCTGTTACTCTGGATCTTAACACACTTGTGTTAAAAAGAAAAATAATCAGCATTGGCCTTGGAAAAGCCATTGTTCAGCCCATCAAACTAGGAAGGGTTATAAGGTTATTTCCAAACTATTTCAAGTCTTTCATCCTGCAGAGTGAGAAAATTATTTACAACTGTCAAACATTTTAGACAGATCCTCATCTTCCCAAATGTAAATTTAGCTTAAGGCCAGACTGCACTTTAAGCTAAGGTTCAGTCTGACACAGTTTTCCTCATCATCTAAGACTGGTTTACCTATTTTGTTTATGAATTGTTTACATGCAATGACAATGAAACTGCTTTCTGTGTTTATTAAGGTTCTCTTTTTCCAATAATTTCTTGATAGTTTTTTGGTAATTTGATTACATTAAATTGCCATAAAATAGTATGACAACATCAGCTTCAGCAAAAACATGTCAGCATTAAAATAAAAACAAATTTAGATAAATACCGCTATAAACCAGGATTTCTCCATATTCTTCTCCATTTAACTTCAAAGTGGCAAAGACTCCCACCATCAGAGAAACTCCTCCCAGGAGATCCATCACCACAGCAAACATCAGCGCCATCTTACAGCGAGACAGGTCATCACACAGACCCATGGTGAGGCTGCAAAAGAGGGAAAGGATGTAACATTTTATTAGAGAGAAATATTAACATTATCACAACTAATTAGAGCTTCAAAAACGCATTAAATCCATCACACTTACATTTCTTTTTGAGTGGAAATATCCCACTATAGTTGTAATCATGTGTATAATGGTGAGATGTATGATGGAATTACTTTCTTCTGTTAAGACTATTTTACCTTCTAGATTCTGATGTAATTGTTATTTTCTCCCATAATAAATCAGCTGTATTCACATCCTCTTTAACTGTCACATACATAATCTGAATGTAAACAGTTTTTAGATTATTTTTATCCTACTCACTTTTATAACCTCTTTAATTTCATAATTTGCGGTCATGCAAATATTTATCCAAGACTCGCTGAGAACAAGCTGATGCATCCCGACTGGTAAAGACATGTGCATATGTGTAATATAAAAACTTTGTTAAATGCGTTAATATAAGATAATACCCACTGGATAGCTGATTAAATGGCTAACTGTAGCATGAGTAGATAATGTACCATAGCAACATATTTGAGATAACAGTTCAGATTTTCAGTCTTTCAGACAAGACTGTTACTTGAGAGAAGAATTCAACTTTTCTCACGTTGACATCTTAAAAATCACAGAAAGCAGAGATTTTTAAGTTCAAGTAAGTGAACTCGCTCTGGATGAATTCAATACAAATATTTAAACGGCCTTACTTGTTCTTTCGACTCGTGCCGATGAAAACGGCTCGCTCAGAGTTTAGTTTGAACTTTTCTCTTCAGTTTCTGTACTTCCGTGTTTACTGGCTTCAATTGTCTCTGCTACCTGGGCCCCTCCCTCAGGTGAGACGTTTCCTCGGGTGGGTTTGCCGCGTTCACTGATAAACTCGGAATTTTGGCCTTTCAAATTTGGAAAAGGCTACACAAACTTTACCATAAGCTAAAATACAAAGGATTGTCGCCAAAAACTCATTTTGCATAGTTAACTAAATTAAAAAAGACGACTTTCATTTTTTCGAGCTCAATTTTAAACTTGCAAACTCCATTTTGGGACATTTTTCAAATAATTTATTTATTTAATAAAGAGAGAAGCACACTGTTTTCTTAATCCAAACAAATCAGAAAACCATCAAAACAAATGTTTTCTTGTAACTTTTGTATAATATTGCTATATTTGTACACAGATGATTATGTATTATGATGTACACAGATTTTTTTTATCTGCCATGCACATCCACTACATGTTCTTTTTTAGTTCGTTCAGTAATTATCATTCTTTCAGTAATAAAGCAATTAATAAAATGGGTATTTTTTGGTTAAAAATTGCAACAATTCGACGGAAGTTTATTTTTGGAAAAATGTTGCAAAAGGAACTTCATCTATTTAACATGCAGGGTTTTTTATGTGTGTAATGTAACTGGAAAGTGCTCTGCGCATGTGTGAGCTGATCCAAACTGAGCGCGGTCCACCTGTGGAGGCTGAGTATAATCAGGTAATTGCAGCTGCAGGTCGGGTTTCCGCTCTGCGGCGAAGCGGCTGATGTGACACCGTTTCAGGCTGTATTACAGAAGTATAACCGCGAACAAGACGCCTGGAAATAAATTACAACAAGTTACTGCGGACATCTGCCTTATTACTGAGTCACTTCATCATTATCTGTCAAGCTCAGCTGTCATGAATCCCGCAACCAGCAGACACGAAACAAACACGCCAGGTAACAGCAACTCTTGGACGCATCCACCCGAACGTTTAAATCTCCCGACTCCTTTGTTATGAACGGTTTTGACCTCTCTTTGCCAGTTAATATCCATTTCGTTGTCTAATACGGTTCCTTTATTGTGATAAATCATGTTTTCTATGTAATAACTGTTTTAATTGACTATTTTTCAGCTACTCTCGCGTGATTTCGTTTGTCTTGTCCTCCTAAACTCGCTCTTAGTGATAAGTTCTCCAATTCTGCAGAGAAACAGCAGCTAACAGTTTTCAAGCTGCGACACTTCTATAGTAAACTGTGTATTTATATTCAAATCTGATTTTATCCAACCATGTGAACTACTGGTCCTGGAGACTCTGCCTGTTTTATTGAATCTCAGATTTTGATTTATTTGTGTCCTTTGAAAAGTAAAAGAGCTACAGTTTTAATACTTGTACAATTTTAGGGGAAGAACCAGCAAAGAGTTTAAGACAGTGTTGAAGTCTGACCTGGACTTTTCCAGTGTCTCATAGAAAGACAAACTAACAGAAAGATTCAAATAGGAAAATAAAAGTTTCTCACTGACCCTAACCCCAGAATCCAGGATGGCCACCATGCTAATAAAACAGTGATAACTGGATTTATACAGCTGAAGGACTATTTAATAAGATGATTTTAAAGGAAAATCTGGCTGGTTTCAACAAAATTCTACAAAAATGAGGGAAATTTTGTGACATTTTCACTGATTTGTTTTAGCAAACACCTGAAGCACTTATTTCATCTTTTCCACTTTACCAATGATGTGTTTTTCCACTTCTCCAACCAAAAATTATTTCACCCATTTTGCCAAATGTGACTTTCCCATACATCAGAGCGGTACGCCTCCCAGGCTTCGTCTTCTTCATCAGGAGCGGGAGGAAGTGGACAAACGGGAGGTTTGTATCTAAATGCCTATGAGGTTTCGTTTCCCTTCGAAGAGAGTGTGGAGCGCCCAGCTGCCTACCACCTGAACCACGGCCAGCAGATGATTGAAGGTAAGTCACATTATGAGAACTACATTTATTATGTATCGAAAAAAAACAACTTTCAACTCTGAAAACAAACTGTAGAAACCTTACAAAAGTATAGAATATTTATCAATTTACCAGGTTACAACCAGAAACTTCAATGGATTTTATGTGATACACAAATTAGTGTACAAGTGTGAAGTAAAACAAAATTGATTCCCCTACATCAGTGCTCTGTAGAAAGCAATAAAACCTGACCAGTTCTGTTGAAGTGCAGGAACTCTGACTTCTTGTCTGTTATGATTAAAATGATAAATTGGTACTGTTAAATAACGACACCAAACCAAGTATACATTTTTCAGTCCCCTGTAGTTCCCCTGCTCGTTGTGTTTATATATTTATTTCCTCTGCTTTGAAATCAGAGCCAGTGGTGCAGGAATCTCTTCACGCCCAGTACAGCCCTTTCATCCTGATTTCTAACCTGCGGGCTCACCTCTACGTCTCCCTGGAGAAGAATGCCTGGCTGCAGAAACGCATCGAGGAGCTGGAAGAGGAGCGAAACTTCCTGCGCTGTCAGCTGGACCGCTTCATCGTCAGCATGAGGAGTCCAGACGGTGAGGGTGGCTGATTTACACACAAAAAAAAGTTATATGTTTCAGTTGATTTTTCTGTGTTACAGTTGTTTTTGAATTCAGTGGCAGACTGGTGTGGAGACCCCCAGCGTACTGTGAAAGTCCAGCCTGCCAGCTCTCCATCTCCTCCTTCCCCGATGACCACCAGGTCGGGGATGGCCCTCAAACGCCTCCAGGGCCCCGGAACTCGCATCCGCCGCAACATCACTGTCCCCGGTGAAGAACATCACAAAAAGCAGTTGTAAAGTCCAAGGAAAGGCGCTTTATTTTCTATTTTTATTATGTATTGCAACTTTTGTGTTCGCAGTCAAGCAGGAGTTTCATCTTGAAGAAGACAAATATTACACAGAGGAAGAGTTTGTTGAGGAAGAGGAGGAGGAAGAGATGGAGGATGATGCAGACTCGCCTGTGGAGAGCGGGTCAAAGAAGAAGAGCCGAGGACGTGGCAGCGGAGAGCCGAAGATGAAGATGAGGAGGATCTTCAGGATCACGCATGGGAGGGAGAGGCAAAGAGGTAAAAACAGATCAAACAGAACTGATAGTAGAAAGAAACATAAAACTGATGTCGAGTTAATGAGTAATCTCTCCATTCTTTAAAAAAGTTGGTGTAGTTTATACTTTTTCAATGCTCTTCAAACTTAGCCCTCATTTGTGTTTCACTCCTAAAATCAATACCTGCCTTTTTAACTCAGTTATTTGACCCATTATAAAAATGCACATGTAATATATTCTAACCACTGTTAGATATTTATCTCACATTCCACCTGCTTTCTACCTCTCTGCTGTCCAGTTAAGGACCCAGATGGGGTTCTGATTCGTTATAAGAAGATCCTGTCCACATACCAGCGGGTGAGGAGCATGTCCAGAGCCTTCCAGATCCACGGAGTCGACCGAAACACGATGGCCTCCACCTCCCCGATCGCAGAGCTCCTGCTTGTGGCCCCAGAAAAGGTGTTAACGTCACTTTTATGACTAGAGCAGCAGGCAGATCTAAATATTTTATATTAATCAAAAATTCTCTGGGCTCTCTGAAGGCTTTTTCTTGGATTTTGGCTGCTTTACATTTTCAGTATTTGAGTGGAATTTTTTTTTCGGTTTTAAAGCTTTTAATATTGTTTAAATTTGATGAAGAAAATAACCTATAACATTGACAAATTCAGGAATAACAGCGCCACCAATTCACATGAAATAAAATGTTTTTATGGGTTGTACTTCAGCTCTTCAGAAACTGTAATATTATGTTTGTGCAAGATACAAACATTGAAGCCACATGGACTCTGTGCTTTCAACAGGTCATTGATTTAGGACACCGATTGTCCTGGTTTGGTAATTTTCCTGCTGAATTTCTACAACTGCCTTAGATTTCCACTTTTGTGAAGAATTAAGTTTTTCTCCTGCAGGTGACTGATGTAGGAGAGTTTGAGGCCTCCAAGGAGAAGCTTCTGGATTACGCCAGGCGATGCTACAAGACCATGGATGAGGAGACGCACGCTAAGGTCCAGAGCATGAAGAAGACCAACAAGCTGCTCCCAATCTCCTACAGGTTCAGGAACTGAGGAAGTGAAGTCCTGTTGGAAATCTAAATCTTCTTTGCCTTAAAAATAAAGTTATGTAAAGGTCAAGTGCTGCCAGCCAGTATACAATATTTTGTCTAAATATAAGAGATCCATGTGATGAGTTTTGTTTCTTTTTCACATGTTGGGCAGATTTTACTTTGAGTGGATCCTTTTTTTCTTTTTTGCCTGCAGTAATTTAAACATAAGACACAGTGATCTTCACTGTCTGAGCTGTTTTGTTCTTGTATTATTGTTTTTGTTTGTACATCAACTGAAAATTTGTATTAACTTAATAGAATGTAACAGAATGCCGCTGAATATATTTTGTTTTGTAAGGGGAAAAATATTTTTTTACTCAATGGTTACTGCACAACGTCTACATACCAAGCTCAGGAATTTTGATTTCTATTAGACAAACTTTTTTTTTTTCCCTTTGTGGTTTAGCCTTTTGCACACTGAAAAATAAATGTCCAATTGCATAATTTGTTTGTTTTCTTGTCTTAATTTAAAAGAAGTGGACGGTTTTTATGTTTGACATTTTTTCACTTTTTTTGTCAGGCTAAAAAATTGGTAAATATCAGGCAATTTTTACATACAGCAGACATTTGTCTGAATGCCCCCCTGAATAAAGGTGAACATTATAATATGAATCTGTTTTACTAGCGGTCAGTAAACAGAAAAACAATGGTTGGCTTTTAGAATTAAAGCAACTGAGAAACATCAGCGCCCTCTAGTGTATTACAGGAGTACTGCTTAATAGGAGAGCCAAAAATGACTCTTGAAATTAATCACAGCAGACATATTGTTTATAAAATAACAAATTTGAACTCAATTTGTAATTTATTGCATTTTAACACAGTTTAAATCTCTATCAACCCTATGAAGCATACTCTAAACTATTTATGCTGAATTTTACAATCTAATTTTGCAGAACTTCCATGAAAGAAGGAATTCTGTAATGAATAGGACATGTAGTTTTGTAGCAGGAAATTGGATTTACAATCAGAAAAGTAAAATCAAAATGAACAAAGAAAGAGGGGGAAAAATGTTCCAGCAGACTGGAAAAAAAGCAGCTATGAACA